CTATATATATATATATATATATATATATGTATATGACATTGTGCTACAACCAAAACCTGATGACATCTGGAATTGTACCTCAGGTCTGCAGTAGGAAGTGCTACATACCATCAGCACCAGCAGAATGCCACTGCTTTACTCTCAACTGAGTGGTATAATAATGCTTGGATGGGTAATGCAGTGGAAAATATATCATTTATGCTGATAAACTGCCAAGGAGGAAGGACATACAGAACAAGCAATCAATGAGGCAATATGCCTGGAAAATCTGGATTGTCTGGCGAGGGATCAGACAAAAGCCACGTGTGAAGCCATAAGGTGGGAATGGATGAATGATGCATGTCTGATTGAGACTGATGAAGGAGCATGGGAGGCAAAGGAAGGTTAGGAGACACCAAAAGCCTGTTCAGAAGTGGAAACCATGTTTGAGCAGGCCAAAACTGAATCACTAGGAGCACATGACATGGAGTGGTCTGAAAACAATGAAAGGACCCTGGGAAGAAGATGAATAGGAGGATATGCATACAGGTAATATCCCTTCAAGTTTTGACTGAGAGCATCTACAGCTACTACTAAAAGATGAAAAACCAGAGACCAAAAATGGGAAAGTTGTGCAATGATATGTGTAGCAAAACCATCCACATATGGAAAACCCCAATGAGCACACCACTCCAGAAACACCTGCAGAACTAATGACCACTCTGTCAGGGGAAACTTGTTGGGCCAGGATAATTGATCCACAACCAGATTCAGGGTGCCCAGAATATGACATGCAAACAATCTGATGTGATAGTTGTGGGGCCAGTAGAGGAGATTCAATATTTGGAAACAAAGATATCGTGACCAGGTACCCCCTTGCCTGGTGATATAAGACAATACCATGGAATTGTTGGAGTGGACCATCACCAAATGCCCCAGAACATCCAACACAAAGTGAAGTACAGCACAAGGAACCACCAGCAACTCCAACGACCTGAAACCTCTTTAGTGTTGAGCTATGCACCCCAACCTGAAAGGGAAGCAACTGTAAAAAGGTGACAATCCAGTCGAGGAAGTAGATGAAGAATTCTGATGGTATTATTAGTCCAATACAACTACCAAGCATAGTCAGCCTGTAGGTAGGGAGGCAGGGTAATATGAGCAACTAAGGGATCCCAAATGAGGCTCCATTGGTTAAGTACCATCTACTGAAGGTGATGCACACGGGTGTGACCAAGGGGAATGAGGGCTTTGAGAGAAGCCCACATCCCCAAAAGAGATAAGGTCTCTCATGCAGTATGAGTGGGAGAGGTCGATGGACAGCAAAAAAGACATTCCATATCCTGTAAATGAAGGGGAGAAGAATGGGCCTAGCTGACAAGGTAATTGAAAAACACACACAGATGAATCAAATATTGTGTAAGTGTGAAAAATGACTTCTCCACTCTGATGAGCCAACCCACTCTGGCAGTCTCTCTTGAAGAAACTGAGTATGAACAGCAGCTTCGACTTGAGAGGAAGTCAAAAGTACCCAGTCATTCATGTAATAGTGGAAACGAAGGCCTCTGGTGTGAAGCAGTCAAGCGAACAACTTGACTACTTCGCAGAAGGCATAAGAAGCCTAAGCCTGGCCAAATGGTAGAGTCCGTAACTGATAAGCACACCCCTAATAAGCAAAAGGGAAGAAAAGCCAGGATGCTTTGGAGATGGAAATGTGTAGAAAGGCATATGACACATCGACCTTTGTCATCCACAACCCAGGAGTGAAAACCCACTGAAAGGTTAAGTAAAACTCCATCATGAAATTTGGAATGACCAAGAAACGGTTCAGGGATGATAAATCTATAACTGGTCACCAATCTCTGATCTTTATGGGTACAACAAACAGACGATAGTAAAACCCCAGCTGAGAAGGTTCCCCAACTTCTATGGTCTCTTTCCAAAATAAGTCCCAAACTGCGTCCTGTAGATGCTGGCAAGAAACAGGATCCTTTGGTGGGGGGAAGACAATTGGATGAGGAGACAATGGAGGAGAGGAATGAAAATCAAAGGCCTAACCCTCTGAAAGAACCTGTAGGACCCGTGGATCTCTTGTAAATGGTGTCCACATATGGCAAAAATGGAAAAGTCTGGCTGGAAAAGTGGAAAAGTCTGGGTTGGAAAAGGGGGGGGCAAGACACAGAAACAGTATGATGAGGTTGGAACAAACAGAAAGCTAATGAAGATGAAAAAAGTGTCATGCACAAACTGCATGAGGAAGGAGCTGGTAAACATAATCGAGAAAGCATCCCGACCAGAAGGTCCCAAGAGCATATCAGACACATTTGAAGAGTTAGGACCAAAGAGGAAAAGTGTGCCATTGTAGCAAAAAGAACTTGAATATCATCTGAAAACCTTTCAGGAGACAAGTGAATTGCCTGAGTCAGCAAGTGCAGGGTAGATAATGCATGCAGAATTGTGGGCAAAATCAGTTTGATACAGAAAAATTAAGGTTGTGAGAAATTCACCAATGTATTAGGGTTCGAATCCCACAATTTCAAATTTTGGGAATCAAGATAAGGGAAGAAAGATCTTCATATGTACAAGGCAGGTGAAGCACACTAACCCCGACCAAAAGTTATCTCCCAAAATGCTTAGCATTAACCCCAACATCAGGTGAGGTAAAGAAAACTAAAAACTGGCTCATATATTCATCACCAAGGAGAGCAGGTTCAGAATCACAGGAAACAGGAGATAATGATAAGACAGCACAAACCTGATTAATTAATTCCACAAAAGGTGAAGAGGGTCAGGGTAAATCCCTGATATCACTTGTGACTGGGAAGCATGTTCAAGGAAAGGAATAGGCTGTCCTAATTCTCGTCTTCCCTGTCAGACATCCCAGGAGCAGGCATGACAGAATATTCCTCGTGTAGTGTTGAAGGCTGCATGAATGTGGACATTTCTCATTGATTAATTACAACAACATCCTTGGCCAACAATTAGAGTACTCAACTGGGTAGTATTATTCGGGAAATCTGCAGCAGCACTAACAGCTGTGGTAGATGTAACTACCTGAAACTGCGAATGCATAGTGACAAGTCCAAACTTGAAGCAAAAAAATATGAAAAAGTATGAAAAACTAAAAAAAGCAATACATTACAAATCTAAAAATGTAAAAAACTAAAGAAATATTAAAGAAAATGAAGCTTGTAGTATAAAGGAAAATGTTGACAAGTTTGTGAGTAAAAACAAGCACGTCTGTACAGTACTACTGCCAATCAAGAAGTGATTAATGAGTGCAAACATGAAGAGAGCACTGGTTACAATAGGGGTTGTGTTGCACTCCTATTAGTGAAGAGCTGCTGCATAATCATTTACATGTGGATATGCAGAAGCAGGAGGTGGAAGGCTAGTGGTGAGCATTGAAAATTTGCTCCGAGAGAGGGCAGTACTGGTTGAGAAAAGCTGTTTTGTAAGCAGAGGTAAGATATCATATCAGAAAAAAGCAAATTCTGAAAGGTTTTCATTTGTTTGTAGTTAAGCACAAAGCTACACAATAAGTTCCTGTGTTACACCCACCATGGATATAGAAATCCAATTTTTACCCTTTATTAGTCTTCAGATTTGCCACTGAGCCATTGGGAAGCAATTCTGAATGGATGAGACAAAAGCTATCTGTTGTGAACTAGGATAAATCAATCAACTGAAGATCCTAATAAAATGTGTAAAACTTAAAAACAAAAATTAAGTATTCCAAACAAGCATGTTCCTTATAGATGAAAAAGGTAACTGAAGTGAAAAACCATGTTGGTTCATAAAGTATATAAAGGATAAAATTAAAGAAAAGCATTATACATTTAAGAAGAGTTTAAACTGACTGCTATGATGGGAGATTTATAGAATTATAAAAATCAAGAGAATTGGTCAAAATGGGAAATTTTAAAAACCATATGAAAAATATCTGACTCAAAACACCATTGATATTGTATTAAAAAAAGGTTGGCTGAGAATTTCAGAATTAATAGCAAGGATTCTTTAAATTCATTAAGAGTTAGCAAATTGTTAGGATGGAAGTACAACATTTGAGGGATAATACAGGAAAACTCATATTTGCTGATTAATTGTAATTAGTAATTGTTACTAACAAAGATTTAAGCAATTATTTCTCCTCCTGAACAGTTGCCAAATGGAAATAAGATCAAACAAGATGATCACATTAATTGTGAACTTCTTAAGAAAAAATTAGAAAGTTTATTGAATAATAAAGCCCTCAGGCCAGATATTTCCCACAGGATTTTGAAGGATGTTAAGGATTTGATATGTGAACCACCTTCTACTATAATTTGTAATTCCTTGAACTTTGAGCAAGCACCAGAAGATGGCTAATGTTACTCCCCTTTTCAAGGGAGGTGATAAAAATTATCCAAGTAATTATAGGTCTACTAGTCTTATATATCATAGATGGGAAAAGTTTTAGAAAGTGATAAAAACATGCTTTGAAAAGTCATTTAACAAGTTTTAAAACATATTTGTTGGATAATCAGCTAGGGGAAAATCTTGCCTTAATAATCTTTTGATATTCTTTGAAGAGGTTATTGGTCATTTGGTGTATCTAGATTTTCAGGAATCATTTCATTATGTGTCACATAAAAAGCTTGTTAAAAATTATTTTCAGGTGTGGGGGATAGGTTAGTTCATTGGATAGAAAAGTTGCTAAAGGAAGAAGGAAATAGTTTGTTACAATTGAAGTTCAATGAAACTGGATTAATATCACAAATGGAGCACCTTAGGGCTCAGTGTTAAGATCTTTTCTCTTTAAATTTTACAAGAATGACATAGATGATGGAATGCTCAATAAGTTATTTAAATTTCTGATTTACGTGACTTTTATTATTTTTATATAGTAGCTTATGTCATGCTGCATCGTATATCTATTTATATTAATCATTATATTGAAATATTAACACAAAATATATATATATTTTTAGGAAAGAAGTTGATCCACGATTGTTAGGGTTAAGAGCTATCAAGTGGCAAGTGCAAGGTCTATACATGAATTAGGCTCAGCACTTTGAACTGGGTTTGTGATTTTTTATATTCTTTTGCATTTAAATTTGTAGTTTTAAGTTCTATAATTTAGCATAATTTTATATATAGTTCATAATAATCATAATATGATTCAGTATTTAGAATGATAAACTTGTGTGATTTGTACGTAATACTACAAGTACCAGTACCACATAAGAATTTTATATTTTTCCTTCTTACAATCTTTACTTTGTAGTAAGACCCACACTTCTGTGTTATTGCTTTAGAATTAAAACAGTCTAACTGAAAAATATAAAGTTTATTCTGATATTTTGCAAATGGTTTAAAACTCAGTGTACAAGTGACAACAATAAAACCCATATGTTGGTTGTGAAACAGACTAAACATATTTGTCTCAATAATACAGGAAAGCTATGATATTCTCATTGTTGGGGTCTCAATACACTGAAGAGCTTAAGTTTTGATTTCCAACATAAATCTTGCTTATAATGAGAGGAATGTGACCAGGACTAATCTTTTAAGTGCTGTAAAGTAATTTTCTTTGTAATTTATGGTGTCTGTATCATTTGGTAATCTATTCTAACAGGATGTATCAAGTAACTAGGGTCAGGGGGTGTTATTCAAACCACCTGTACTGTAAACTGTTACATACAATCACTAGTAGTGGCAATTAGTTTTGTCTGTGTCTGTGAAACAACATACACGGACTTTTGTTTAAATAAATTTGTTTGAAAGTTCAAAGAAATTATATTCAAGTACGGAAAAGCTTTCTTACTATCATATCTACAGTAATGTTGAAATGTGCGTGCGATGGACTGAACAAGAGTGAACACCAACGGGCATGATAGTTTATGGCAAACGTACAAAGTTCATGCTGCTAACCTCACGATTTATTCGGCACAGTAAACAAAAGTATGGCTGCCATGAAACATAAACTTGAAATAAATATACATTTATGAAACAAAATTAGAATGTTTGTTATGTACATATATAAACATGAAATCCTAGTTAAAAATAAAAATACTCATTTATTGTTTAGGCTTATTTACAAATATTATTTTTGGGTCTTCTATATTACTTGAAACTATAAGGAGAGTACATGATTATTAAAAAAATTAAAAAGTAGATAAAATTTGCATTTTATGGACGATACAATTTTTGGGGGATTTCAAAATAATGTACTAAAACATAAAAAGTAATAAGTTCAAATCTGGAACAAATATAAATGTCGTAATCATTTCTTATAAATACCATTTCCTAATGTAATTTTCCAAGATATTAAAGATCATAATGCAAAATAACTAAATTTAGCAAAAGTAACAGGCTTTATATTTCTTAAACTACATGCATTTATGAAAGTTCTTATGAAGTTTCAAACAGTTCATCCACTAGTTTTATTGTTGGAATGAAATATAGCAAGACTTGCATTGGCTACTCAGAAAGTTAGTAGCTGGTGATCATCGGGTTAACTTCCTTCAAAACCCTGGGGAAAATAATATCTTGACCAGGAGCCTTAAAATTCTTTAAATTTCCTAATTTTTCTTAACTTGCTCCTTAAACTTAGAAAATTACATTACTACTGGTATTAGTACACAAGTAAAATTACACTTCTATAATATAGCAGCTATGTTACACTTACCCCTGCTGCAAAACCCAGGCTTCCATCCAAACCCTAGTAAAATTACACTTCTATAATATAGCAGCTATGTTACACTTACCACTGCTGCAAAACCCATGCTTCCATCCAAAACCTTTCTCTAAGTAATGAAAAAAAAAACAATAAAAACTATTGTACTTCTCCAATATCAATAAAAAAAATCAAGTACTAAATACAAATGCTATATACAGCAACTATTTTATAACCTGCATATAGCAATAATTACTATATAATCTTCAATATGTGTTACATAATTGAAACGTAGCAGCTAATATGCCAGCTATGACCAACATCTACTGTTATACAGCCAGTGTATATCTCCAATATGTATTACATATTTTTAACATAGCAGCTACTATGCCGGCTACATCAAACATCCACTGTTATATAGCCAATGTATATCTCTAATATGTTATATATAATTGGAACTATGCCTGCTACGTTCAACATCCACTATTATATAGCCAGTGTATATCTACAATACATATCACATAATTGGAATGTAGCAGCTATTATGCTGGCTACATTCAAAATCCACTGTTACATAGCCAGTGTATATCTCCAATACATATTACATATTCTGAACATAGCAGCTACTATGCTGGCTACACTCAACATCCACCATTGTATAGCCAGTGTATATCTCCAATTTGTATTACATAATTGAAACATAGCAGCTACTACACTGGCTACATCCAAGAGTCACTGTTATATAGACAGGATGTATCTCCAATACATATTGCATAATCAGAACATAGCAGTTACTATATCACCTACATCACAGATCCACTGTTATGTAGGCAGTGTATATCTCCAATATGTATTACATAATCTGAATATAGCAGCTACTATGTCAGCTACACCCAAGATCCACTGTTATATAGCCAGTGTATATCTCCAATATGTATTACATAATCTGAATATAGCAGCTACTATGTCAGCTACACCCAAGATCCACTGTTATATAGCCAGTGTATATCTCCAATATGTATTACATAATCTGAACATAGCAGCCACAAAACTGGCTACATTCAAGATCCACTGTTATATAGCCAGTGTATATCTCTAATATGTATTACATAATCTGAATATAGCAGCTACTATGTCAGCTACACCCAAGATCCACTGTTATATAGCCAGTGTATATCTCTAATATGTATTACATACTCTGAATATAGCAGCTACTATGTCAGCTACACCCAAGATCCACTGTTATATAGCCAGTGTATATCTCCAATATGTATTACATAATCTGAATATAGCAGCTACTATGTCAGCTACACCCAAGATCCACTGTTATATAGCCAGTGTATATCTCCAATATGTATTACATAATTGAAACATAACAGCTACTATGCTGGCTACATCCAAGATCCACTGTTATATAGGCAGTGTATATGTCTAATAATATTACATAATCAGAACGTAGCAACTACTGCACCAGCTACATCCAACATCAATTGTTATATAACCTATGAATAACTATAACTAGCATATTACCTGGATCTAGTATTACATAATGTAAATGTTAACAACTATCACATAGTTTACATCTAATATTAATCATTATACAATGTATATATATAACAGTAACATGTATTACCAATAAGTACTAAATAATCTCAATGTAACAAGTACTATTATCTAACCTACATATAAATTGCAATACCCTCTGTTGTACTTAACCCAGATGTAAAAATAAATACTACAAATTGCATAACCTATAATAGCAGTAGCAACTCCATATAGCCTACATGTACTATATTATATAATAAAAAATCACATCATATTTGCTGATATAATACAACTGTCCAATGGCAAGGATACATTTCAAGCTCTTCCTTACATTTTGCTTATCCAAGTGTGAATACTAACCTCAAAGTCTAATTTTGAATTTGAATTAGTTTAACTTCTGTACTATTGTGTTCATATTATACAAAGCATTACTTAAGTTTCAATACTTGAATGATAACCCATCCATTCCTCACTCAGATTTTGAGTTTGAAAACTTCCTTCCTTTCTAAACATCTAGATAACTTACCACTCAATGTTATCATTAATTATCTTTGCCACCAAAGATGGATGGAGGTTATGTTTTCACCTGTGTGTGTTTGTCAACAAGATTTTTGAAAATTGCTGAAAAGATTTTGATGAAAGTTGGTATGTATGTGAACTATGATCCAACTTAGAAGTGATTATACTGATTAGTTTTTGGATGATCATAGTGACAAAAATCCAAAACAATTCCCATCTGTTAACATGGTAACCGATTTTTCACACTATTTTTGCTCTATAACTCAGTCCAAAATAAAAGAATTTTGATGAAACCTGGAGGAAATATGTAGAATATTATTCACATTGTCCTGCCAAAAATGGTCTATGTCTGTTGATAACGACAAGCATATGGTCACATTTTCATAATGTTTGACAGCCAAAAATTATCAACGCTGCATGGCAGATGTATGTACTCTACTGTTTGTTTTGTTTGTAATTAAGCACAAAGCTACACAATGAGCTATCTGTGTTCTGCC